GGCACCGCAGGTTGTTATCAATGGAACCAGTGTCTAGGGAGCCCTGAACAGATGTTAGGCATCATGCCAACTACTCAGTGGCCGTCATCTCATCAATTCTCAAAACAACCCACATGGTAGATGTTGTAATCCCCACTTTTTAAGCAAGGAGCCTGAGGTCAGACAAGTGAAGTCCCCTGAGTAGGACCACAAAGCAAAGAGTGGCAGAGCAACAACCTGAACCCATGTCTCTCTGACTGCAAACCCAGCTCATCCCACTACCTCATGATGCAACTGAAGGGGGGAGGGCAGGGGTCACACGAAGCCCTTGGCCCACCCATGGGGCTGCCTCAGGCAGGCCGAAGCTTCCCCGCCCTGTGGAATGTGAGGCTCACGGTCTGACAGCAACCTAGAGCAGGCCCCAGGCCTCTCCTACCCTGGCTCACCCCAGCCTCGTGCAGAGACCTGAAAGGTTCTCTCATCTCTGTGTGTCTCTTGCCTCTTTGGGGTGCGAGCAGGCTGACAGTAAATCGCAGCAATACTTCGCTTGGAGAAGAACACTGGGTTCTTTTGGCCAGCTGGGCCTGGCAGCTGTCCCAGGCCCTGCCTCCCTGGCTCCGTAAGGGGAGGCCAGCACACTCTGCACTTAGCATCTCCTTCAGACAGCAGGGTTACAAACGACCAGCCTGTCAGCCTTGGACACACGCAACCCTCGGGGGCCCGAGGCCTGACCTTTAAAGGCTCAAACAGGTTCCACTTATTCAAGGGCCTACATTCCCTGGCAATGGCTCTGCGGACTCATGGGTGCCTGAGGCACCCCGTCACCCTGATGTCACCTTGGCATCCCCCCAGCCAGGTCCTACCTTCAAGTCCTGGCTGTCCGCCTCCCTCAGCTTCTGCAGCCTGAAGTCTCCCTCGCAGGGATTGAGGGCCGACGGGGGCGCCACACAGGCACACTTGCAGGACGAGCCTGAGGTGATGGTCTCCACCGTGTAGAAGTCTTCCTTCCTGGAAGCCCCCTCGTTGACCCTCTGGCAGGCGTCCCGGCCCAGGGGTCTCACTACGCACTTGCACTGACAGTCTGAGCCCTCGGACACGGCCTTGACCTTGTCATAGTCTCCCAGCAACTAGACAGAGAGAGAGAGAGAGAGAGAGAGAGAGAGAGAGAGAGAGGGTTGGGTGTTTAAACATGGACGGCAGGCTCCTCAAGAAGGCTCTCTGCTCACTTTGTCAATGTCTGTGCTGACCGGAGACCTCGGGCAATGCCCAACTGTACAGAGAAGAGGTCACTGCAGCACAATTTGCTGACTCTGATGTTTCCTTGACGGCGCTCAGAGCTCAGCTCTCTGCATTTGGCTCAGAAAGCCGTGCATTTCTCAGGGGCCCTCAGCCTCTCCTCACTGACAGGAGAAAACAAGTGGGCCCCATTGTCCTGCCAGCAGCCCTGCCTCAGCGAGAGTCCAGGCCCGGACTGAAAAGGAAAAGGAGAGGGGCCTGAGGCTGGGATTGGGAAGCTGATACTCTGATGCAAAGGCTGCTTGCTTCTGTCCGCACTGGCTCACTGACCATTTACTGAGGGCCTGCTCGGGATTGTGCTGGGAGCTGTGAGAGGGAACAGGGCGGACCGGACTTGGCCTGCCCGCAGGAGGCCTATCGAGGACGGCCACTTGGAGGGTGATAAGTGTCCCTGTAGTGACGAAGTGCAGCAGGTGCTGGGGGGTGGGGGGGGTGCAGAGCGGAAAGACTTCCTGGAGCAAGTTTTATTTGATCTGGGCCTCGAAGGATGAGTTCAATTTGGCGAAAGAGAACGGCGAGGAGAGACGGGACCAGATGTCAGAAAGGTTTACTCAGCCCAAGGATTCATTTGCCTCCTGGAACAGCTTCTGAACCCAAACCCCAGGCCAAAGCTGGGAGGGAAAACTGGCCGCGCTCGCTGCTCCTACAATGCTAAACATTTCCTCCGGAGCGCTTGCCCCTGCCAGCCTCCCAGGTGGGGACAGACGCACCGGCGGGCCTTCTGGAGCCACCAGCCGGGGCACTTGCCGGGGAAAAGGCTTCTCCCGGGATCCTCTCCAACAGACCCTGCACCCCCCAAGCCAGGGCTCCCTTTCTGGGTGTGGAAAAGGGCTCCCTTCCTTGGACCCGTGACCCTGACGGGCAAGCAGAGAGACGTTGCTGGACTGGAAGTGCTCCTGGGGGGATCGGTCTGGGGGTCAGAAGGCTTGTAATGTTTTTCTTGCAAAGTTGGGTTTCCTCTAATACTAATATTTGTTTTAGGGCTGCTGTCAAATACAGAATCCCTCAGGGGAGGAATGTAGTGAGGGTGACTTAAGCGGCAGGTCTTTCTGGGCCGACAGTAAATCGGTAGCTGTCAGTTCTCTGAAACGTCCTAGATTCCTACAGAAGCCTGCTCTGAGAGCCTGGGTGGATCCCTGCGTTTCCAGAGGCTCCGGTTTCAGGATTTGTTGATGATCCTCCCAAGCCCCAAGGGGAAGGATTTTTGTCTTTTGGATTTAGGAGTCAGTGAGAGATTATGGGTGGGTATAGGACAATATTAGCATAACTTTTCAAGGACGGGTGAGGAGACTAGTATTTGATAAATGCCAGGGGGTATCCATCATCACACAGGAAGAAGACACAGGCCAGGGGCTCAGTGGGGATGCAGGCAGAGCCCTGGGTACCTGCTCAGGACTGTGCAGGGTGTGGTGGGAGGGATGTGACGGACTGGTGACAAGATGGTTTCTCAGCCATCCTTCAACTTTGGGATTACGGTAACACCCACCACACACCATCATGCCACACACACCCCAGAGAGAACTGTCCCTTGCAGTCATAAGATCTGGCTAAAGGTGGCTAGAAGACCCACCCACTCCAGCATTCTACTGGTCCTTATCTATAGAATGGGAATGAGGGTGTGCGAGGATTGAGTCAGAACAAGTGAAACTGCTTTATAAAGGGACACTGTACAAAGCCTGTTGTCATCAGCTGTCACTCACGTCCGAGAAGATCTGTCAGGCTTTTGAGTGTATCTGCATTTCTACTCTGCAGCCCCAATACAATACGTGGGGTCTTGTCCAGTCCCTCTGCTTCGTGGTCACCACACATGTTGCTCTTCTGTCGCCCCCTCCCCTCCTCCCTGGGAGTCTCACTGTGCGGTAAACATGTCCCCGTGGGTCATGCCATCTCTCTTGTCCAACTAGCCCGCCTGTTTCCACATTCCTATTCCGACAAAAAGCCACACAGACAAGAGATGGCCATACCCTTGAACCAAAAGGTTATTATTTTTACATTTCTCCTTTCTCCTCTGGGAGTTGTGTGGAGTCTTCCCTTCCCTCCTCTCTCCTTTTTTCTAACTCGGTGACCTTAAAAGACCCATGATTTTCACAGGACGATCCATGCCCTTTCACTTAAGAAAACATTCTGATAAATGAAAAGCAAATGCCCTTCCCTCTGGCATTGCGGGGGAGAAGCAGCTGCCTCCCAACGCGTCCGCGAGGACCACCGTGCAGCTCCTGCCCCACCCAGGGCGAGAGGGGCGGGCGTGGGACCCGCAGCCTACCTGAGACAGAACGTTCTCCTGGTTGTCCGCCTCGTTTTGCAGGGTGTCGTCCTCCGTGGGTGCCACCGTCTGCCCGGCGGGGGGTTCGCTCGTCCCAGAGGGGGCGACGCTGGACCCCCAGGCCGGGGCCACACCCAGAGCAAGGCAGAGAACTAGCAGCGCGGGCTTGGCCATGAGGGGCGCGCGAAGGAGGGGCCCGGGCCCTTCGGGACGGCTGGGCTCGGAGGTCTCGCTAGGCAGGGACTGAGGCGCGAGGGTGTCCCGGCTGAGGCCCGGGAGGGGCTGCTCGGGCCCCTCCTAAGGCTGGGCGCGGCTGCGCGGGGCGGGGGGGTGCTCCCCGGGGCCCCCGCTCATCTCCTTCGACGCGGGCGGCGCGGACGGCGCGCGCGGGCCCGGGAGGGGGCTCAGGGGGACGCCAGGGGCCCGGGCGCGCGGGGACGGGGCGCGGGGCGCGGGCGGCGGCGGCGGCGCTGCTGGCGGGGGAGGGCGGGGCCTCCGCTGTGCCGGCCGCGGGGGTGCGGCCCGAGTCGGCGCGGAGGGGGAGGACCCCGCCCCGCTCGGCCTCGGCCGCCGCCGCGCTCGCCCGGGGGGCTGGGGGGCACAGCAGGGCGCCTGTCTGCCGGCAGGAATCACCGGAGAGAAGGTGCACCGAGCGGGGTCCCTGAGGTTTGGGGGCTCCTTGTGCCCTTCGTCGTCGAGAGCGGCGAGTTTCCTCCGACCCGGGAGGCCGGCACCGAGCGCGCACCCCAAGGCCGAGCCGATCTGCACCCCGCGTGCCCCCTTTATTGCACTAGGGGTACAAGAGCGTTTGCTCGGAGGTGTTTCTCTTCCCTGACTGGACTCTGGGCCTGATCTCTGGCAGCTTTGAACTTGGCGCCGTCGGTACTTGGCTTGCCTGCCGCGGCCTTAGAACCTGGCAATACCTCCACCCAGAGGACAATTTTGGAAGTTGCTGGAGCGGGTCCTCAGTTGCTTAAATATTAAATACAAAGAAAAAGGCTGTGAATCTCCGGCACTCTGTGTATCCCAGTGGGAGGGGGCTGGCTAATGCCCGAGAATCAAATGATGGTCAAAGGGGGCACCTCGTACTGTGTTCGTGGTTTGGGACAAGCTCAGAGTCTCGTGCACTGGACGACCTCTAAGAGGGAGTCCGCTTTCAACAGTGCGCGATTATGCTAGTGTCCCTCAGTTAGTGCCCCTTTGACGGAGATCCACACTGTGTGAATTCAAGGAAAGGCACTGTGTCTTCCGGGACAACGGTCACCCTGGAAATATTGAGCAGAGCCAGACCCCTTCAAAGATGTGAACGCTGTTACTATGCGTCCTGGGAAATTCAAACACTTTGTCTCTTATGTTAAGGAATAAGGGCTGTAATAATCTCAGTAATAAACTAGGGAGAGCTCAGCTCATATAAATCATGATAGTTGACCAGTATAATAATAACCCTTATTAATATATTTTAATAGATTTTTTAAAACGCCAGCTTATGGACAGAAATCCAAGGTTCTGGGTGTCTGGACTTGTGGAAATGTCACACAGGTACATGCACACCACACACACACACACACACACACACACAACTATGTAAGCTCTCACATCTTTTTTGAAACTATATGACAGTAAACATCTATAAAATATAGTTTAAAGTGTTGAATGTTTGCTAGGTGCAAGAGAACCATTAGGATGCTACATATTTAAAGGAAAGATGAGACATTCCATGTTTTCTGGAAGGAGTAGGGGTGAGCAGACCAAGTAGTCAACCAGTAAGGCAGGTAAGAACATTTTCCCCAGGAGCTTAAAGGAGAAATAGATCACTTCCAGGGTTTCATGGGAGGTGACGAGGAGAGGGAGAAGCCATTCAGGCAGAGACGCCAGCCTGTGTGCGCATATTTGGGTCAGAACTGGTGCTCCCTTCTCAGGGAAAACTGCTGACCCCACTGCTAGGGCCAGTCCTGTATTATGGCTCCTGACAGATCAGAAACTCTAGAGGCTGAGAGATCTCTGCTATAAAAGAGGGTTTGTTGAGCCTTTACAGATTCACCCAGGTAAGGACTGAGTCCTGGGACAAGAAGTTTCTGCTTTACCAGCAGAAAGGCCAGTGAACAGAAGCAACTTGTCCACCAGACTCAAGAAACTGGGCACATTTATGAGGGATCTCAAGGAAAGAAATTTTGTTGAATTCACATGGGCTACAGGTCAGGGAATCGAGGCAACATGGATTGGGGAGAGTCCTGGGATAGGTGGTGAGTCCGCAGAGAAGGCTCATGGATGGGTTGCTGGTGATGGTCAGATAGTGGTCACCCACCTGGGGGATGCTGTGGTCCAAGGGACCTTCTCGATGCCTGTTGGAATGAGTTCACCCAGGAACGTGGAGATTCTGGTGAGCTGTGGCCTGAAGCTACTGAGTGATGATCTTTGCTTGTCTCCCTCCCTCATTCTCTGGACCTCATGTCACATACTTTAGACATACCAGGATTTTTGCCTTTTCACTCCCATACTATGGACTAAGACTACCATGTCCCTCTCCTTGCCAGAATCATGAGAGTAAAATTTTTCCTCTGTCATGGTGGCTTTAGTAGCTCCAGTCGTCTCCCTCAGACTGTACCCTCCACGAGGGCAGAGCTTTATTCTGGTTTCATTCATCATTACGTCCCCAGAGCTTAGCCAGTGCCTAGAACAAAACAGACATTTGATAAAATCAGCTGAAAGAATGGGAACTACAAATAGTCCAGTTGGATGTACTCCCAATTACTTTCATAAATACAATCTTTGTATCCATTAGGGTGCATTTGACTCAAGTAACAGAATATCAACAATGACTTAATCAAGTATGTGTTTCCTTTTCTCCCACTCTAAAAAGAGTGGAAGTTGGCTGTGAAATTTGGTTCAGCAGCTCAGAGATGTCATAAAGGACTCAAGCTCTTTATATTTTCCAACCTATTGTTTTTAGGGTATTTATTGTCTTTCTGACCTGATCATAACTGGTTTGGGCCAGTCCTTTTGCCAGACATTCAGTTTCCCAATCTCTCCAGCAGCTGGGGCAGCTATATGATTCAGTTCTGGCTAAAAGAATAAAACAAATCTGCCGGGTCTGGAAAAGGTATTTTGCTTCCTGGTAAAAGAAATAAATAAGTGAGAGGAACTTTCTGGTGCCCTCTTGCCCCCACTTCCTACCTTTGATTGTGGTCATGGTGCCTGGAGCTGTGGCAGCCATCTCATCACCATGAGTTCTTTCTCCTATTGAACTGAAATACATCTCCTTTTAAAGTCCACTTTGAAACTTCAGTCATGTAGTCCTACACAGAATATGTTTAATATTATCTTCCCACAAAAGAGCTTTTCTTTCACTTAAAGATAGAAAGTAAACACCTTTTAAGCCTCTTCTTCCTAAAGTTAACTACACCTACTTTCCTCAGTTTCTATCTTTACCATTTTATTCACCTGTTTTCTTCCAGACCTTCCATTACTCTGGTTATTTTTTCTCTAAAAAGGCCCCAGTTTGAGTAGATGTCAGACCATATTGAAACCATTTCTCCTCTTTTTCTGAGTACTCTTATTTTATTAATGTAGCCCAAGATTGCCTTAACTTTTTTGGCAGTTACATTGCACCAATGATTCACACTGATTTATTTTTTTATGTAGTTTTTTTCCTTTCTTTTTTTTCCCCCTAACATGAATCTTATGCTAATTTCCTCCATCCCATGCTTTCCAGCTATTTTCCTTTTTTTTTTAAATCCAAGTCCAGGCCTTTATATTTTATTCCCACTGAATATTATGATGGTTTGGGCCCATTTTTCCATCCTGTTGAAATCTTGCTCCTTTTGGTCTTGTCCCAGTTTTCCAAATCCAGTAAGCATTGTTTCTGTCTTAATTCAAATGATTCATTTTAAAATGTCATATTTATTTGGACAGGGCCAGATTCTAGAGCCTTGTACCAATAATAGGAAAAGTCTTCCCTTGGCGATATTAACCTTTTTGGTGTGTGGTTGTTGAGGCAGCCACAGGTGTTGGTACTGAGCCCCATCATGCCTGTGAGCATTTCTTGAGAGGCCTTTCAGAAATCATGAATTCTGCCAGGTAGAAGCCTGGAGGCTCTAAAATCTTGGCGAGTGAATTGGGAAATGCAAGCAAAACTGGGTCACTGGGGTTGCATGGAGGGGAGGGGAGGGGAGGGGAGGGGAAGGGAGGGAAGGGAGGGAGGGGAGAGGAACAAGAGGTGAGAATGGAGGCCAGATCACAGGAGGCCTGGTGCTCCGTGGGAACTTGGATTTCAAGCTGAGCCGGCGAGGAGGGAGGCACCTGTAGTGTGGTAAGCGAGGGAGCGAAGTAATTAAACCCGCGTTCCAGCAGACGGTCCTGGCCACAGTCTAGAGAACCGACTGGTGGGTCAGACTGAAGTAGGGAGGCCTGCTTGGAGGCTGCTGTAGAAGCCCAGGCATGAGCTCAGAAGGCTGTGATCAAAGCAGAGGCACAGAAAGAAAGGGGTGGGCATCAAAGAGGGAGAACTCGCAGGGCTTGGTGACTCTCTGGACATGGGGGTGAGAAAAGGGGGAGGTCTTTAGTTAAAAATTCTCACTTGCAAGTAACAAAGCAACTTTATCCAGATTAATCAAAGTGTGGGGTGGGGAAGGAGACTTTATTATAAGAACCAAGGGCCCTAATGTCTCCGGGGTCTGGCTTGAACAGGGACTTCTCTGGTCCACACAGTGACAGATGTCTGCTCCACAGTTACCTTAAGTGAGTGGGAGGCTTTCTCCTTCTCAGGCCCAGTTCCAAATGCCTAGGAAAGGACTCTCGTCCAAAGTGGGTCACGTACCCAGTTCTGAACTGATCGCCTAAGGTATGTGTGGAAGGGGGGCAGGTGACTCTGTGGGAACAAAGTGGGAAGATGGTAAGATCCCAGGCAGGCCCCTCTGGACCAGTCACGTCAACATGTACCCACTCCACCCTTGCCCGTGGCTGGTCGGCTCTCTCTCTGTCTCCCCTCTATTTCCAAAGATATACTTACTTAACATAAATTAATTATCCTATCGAAAAGCAAAAATATCTCCCCTTAAGAGATAAAGCAAATTAGTATCTAGGAATGTCAGAGGCAACCCTTCTGTGTATCTACATTGCCAGGTGGTATCTTTTCCAGCTTGACTTGAATCTGATTCAGATGTGAGTTCTCACCCGCCCACAGATTAGAGGCTGAATCTGACTGGGTGGATATACAAGTAGCTCAGCTCATTGTAGATATTTCCCTTGGTAGATCTACCACTGAAAATGCCTGATCCATACATTTCCTCTTCAGAGTACTGCCATTCACTGGGGTGCATGAATGTCATTAGATTCCAGCCTTGTCCGGCAGCCTGGGTCATGTGGGCTCCTGGGCTTTGGGGCCAGATGAATGGGCTATGGAACCTGGCTTTACTATACTTGCTCTTGACCTAGGGTGAGTCACTTCACCTCTGATAGCCTTGGTCTCTTCCTTCTAACACGCGGGTCATACAAATATTCTCTGCTTACTGTGTGTCCACCACATGTAAGGAATGAACCCCAATCCCCAATCCAAGGCTAAAAATAATACGGAATACAAAGACTACAGGAAGCTTAATAAAGGGTGAGCCTCAGATTTAGCACTGAGAGGAAACCCGGATACTGCTGTAAAGGTGAAGGTTTGCATGCAAGCCAGAAAGATGATTCTAGTCGGAACTTTGTGAGAGCTTCAGAGCTACAGACCTGGGCTCAAATATTAATTCTGATGAATTCTCAAAAATCTGGTGGGTGGTCTTGGGCAAGTTTTTCTCTTGTGAGCCTTAGTTTCCTAACACTGCTAGGTTGTTGTGGAGATTAGAGATGTATAAAAATGTCTGACGCAGCTTGCCACATCACACGTTATTTGTTGACTGTTGAATGAATGATAAAATGTCATCATTTTCAATGGGCTTTCCTGTTTCTGACTCACTATATGAACTTAGTAGGAACTCTGTACCTCAATTTCCTTATGCAAAAAAAGGCAACTATCATATTTGACTGTGTTCCTTCCATCCAGTGATTGTGACTAAGGTAAACAAGATTTTTGCTTTTTCGGGTTTGCTCTGTTCCAGGGACTAAGTGTTGACAAGATAACTTTCTAAAGCCAAGCATTTCCCGAGGTGGAATTCCTGAGCTCCAAAACTGGGCTTCACAGCCTGTTGGCAGAGCAGCCCAGGAAAACCAGGGGGCTGCAGGCGAGGGCGGACGTTGCCCTGACTAGGGGTGGGGGTTGGGATGGCAGGTCATGGAGGGGACTTCTGAGGGGGGACAAACTGCATAGCCCTGGCCAAGCAGCGAGCAGAGTGAGGCTGCCTTAGGCATTCCTGGTTCAAGGGCCACCTCACTGCAGGCAGGAGGAGACCTGGCCATGTGCTCTGAGGGCCAGTGTTCCTGAAACAGCAGCAGCACGACTGAGACGGGGTGGCCACCCTGAGTGCCTGCTCCTGCCGACATTCTCCCCCTTCCTCTGAGAACTTACCGTCCTCCTTCTGCGAGCCCAACTCAAGCTTGTTCCAATTAACCTTGAAGCATGTCATCCTGTTCCAATTAACATCATTCCTAACCTTTCTTCATCCCACTGATACTGCCCTCATTTCCTCTTAAGTTTACGTTCCCCCTTCCTTTCTGCGAGGAATTAACCATTCAGAGCTCTGTTATCTGAACGGGGAAGGTGTCGCTCCTGAAGAACCTTGCGCTGTTCGAGTTTTACTTTCCTTCACAGATTTTCAGAGTGACTGGGCTTCACTTCTTCTTGATCTAGAATGCTTGTGCAGGAAGACACTGTCTTTGCATAACTCTGGGGACTGTGTCTGGGGACCCTACAATGTAAATGGCGTTTCCTGGGGTTCAGGACGGTTTGACCACCTGTTATGGTCAGGTGCAAAAATCTCATTTCATCCTCAGGACATCCTGCAGTGTAGCTATCGTTAACCCCAGGCCACAGGACATTGAAGCAGAGATTGACTGACCTGCCTAAAGACAAAAAATACAACTAGTCAGTGGCAAGCTAGCTTTGATCTCACGGCTGTGGCCCAAGCTTGGGCTGTCAATCACACCCCCTCCTCCAACATTTAGCTTCTAAAATCCACATCCAGCCCGTCGCCCACATGCCATCTCTCCTCCTGAAATTCCATACTCACAGTTCTCCAAACACTTCCATGCAAAACAGCACTCTGATGGAAAAATAACTTCCTGCAGAAACGTGGGCAGTGAGATGTCCCACCAGGGACACCTGGCACCTCAGCCCCGCACTGCCTTTCCAGCCATCCTGTGAATTTGGGAAGTCATGAGCCTCAGTTTTGTATTTACCCAGAGAATTGGTTGGACTGAGTGATTTCCAGGGTGGCCTCTCTCAGCCCTAATGCTCTGAATTCTTCAGTCTAAGCAGCTTGATTTACTGATCCTTCTGTAGTGTTCTGGAACACAGCTGACTTGCATGTAGCTACCCACATAAAAATAGTTGCTTTGTGAGTTAGCCATCAGTCACTCTAGAAAGTGGTGGATATTTGTGATGTGAGAAGCGCAGACATTCTGTGCTTTTCATGACGTGCTCCTCAACACCTGTGCATCCTGGGCTTCCTCAGATTATCACACGGCAGCTGCACAGCCATGGGGGCGGTCCATGTCTTGCAGGCACGTCGGAGAGGAGAGACGAGCAGCAGGACTGTCCCTGGGCCTGCCACCAGGAGAAGCTGGCCAGTCGCTTCTGAAGTGGTGGCTCAGAAAGTGTAAATAGTTAGACCAGCGTCACACAGTCTGGACTGGAAGCCAGGGCTTATTTTTTCAGAGCCCATGCTCTGAAATACCGAACTACACTCAGCCTCCCTTAGCTTCTTCATCTGTGGAAAGAAGGGTGTGAGCCAGCCTGTCCCAGACTGTGGCTTGCGCACTGCCAGGAGGACTTGACAGTATATTAGGTGGTGCCCAGATAGATATTCACTAATTGTAATGGTTATGTTTTTTATTTTAAAATGTGTTAGGGAAAAAAAGCATTACAGACATAAAACTTGCTATATCAGAGATACTGCTTAGGAAGAGCTTAAATGAAAAAGCGAATTGTTAAGGTTTATTTAAAGAAAAGCGTTGTCCGTCCAAATGACATGGCAACAATTGTGAAGGTGGGGACTTTGCCATCGCCTGCGGTTTGGGGACCACTGAATCAGATGACATTCTTCAGTATTCACCGGTTCCATCAGGACAGAGCAGGACCGTGGCCTGCCTGAGCCTCTGACACCGTGTCTTCAACTCCTGGGCATTTCCAGCCATCTGAGTCAGGGACAGAAATGTGTACACAGAAGACTCCAGGCTAAGGCTCGATTTGTCCCACTTCTAATATCTACTCCACCGCCCCCCGGGGTCTCCTGTCCAGGCTTTCTGTCCGGTGTCTGTCACCACATCCCTGGACCGAGACGCCTAAGGTACAGGTCATCAAGCAGCCGGCTGCAGGTGTATCTGCCAGCAGGGGGATCGTTTTAATCTCCAAATTGGAATGTCTTTAGGGAGGGCACACATTCTGGTTTGCACATGATTCCACCCGTGGTAACTCCAGGGCCCTGAGGGCTTATGAGTCTGGGATCCCTGGTTTGAATTCTTATGTCCCCCAAATCAAAGTCGTTAGAGGCCCAAAGACCTGGTCCTCCAATGGTGGGATTCAGAGCGAGGGGCAACAAGGAGCCGCCAGCAGTGCGGACGCCTGTCACATCTGGGGAGTCTGAAGCGTGTGGACTTCCTGTGCCGGCCCTGCAGCAGGAGGTCAGCACACGGGCCGAGCCAGGAGGTGACAGTGCTCCCAGCTTTCTACCGTCCTTTGGTGGCCCAGGGCCTGCTCTGCGATTTTCAGAGTGGGAATAGAGTGACACCTGGTGTCTGGTGCGTTCTGCAAACCCTGCAGTTCCATCCGCTGAGCTCATCCCCTCCATTCCCAAACCATCCTCTCTTCCTCCTCTTCTTCCCTCCCCTGTTCGGGTGCAGGCAGGCCGGTGCAGGCTGGAAACGTCACCGTCACCACCAGCAAGCTCTTCTCTGTCTCCTCCCACAGCCCCCCCATTGCCAAGGCCTGTGAGCAGGACTTGGGCTGGATGTCTGGCTCTTGCCCCTTCTTGTCACTTCCTTCTTCTGGCTCATGAGTTCCTCTCGCCCAGCACAGCTGTCGTGGAGTTCTCACGTGCACATCGCTGCCTGATTAACATTCTTAAAGTACAGTCCCACCCTCTGCCAGAAGCCAACACTCTCCACGACCCACTGGGTAGAGTGGGTCCTGGCCTATGACTCGGCCGCAGGCTACGCCCTGGCCTTCTCTGGGTCCCCTTATTGCTGCATCCCCCAGCCATGCTCTAGGCTTTCGGCAGCTCACCTGCTGCTTCCACCTGCGTGGACCACTCTTCCAAGGGGGCTGGTTATGAAGAGTAGAGAGCAAATGGTAAAGGAGGTGATCAGACAGGTAGTTGCATTCAATGGACAGAAGTGACTTGAACGTAAGTCACTTGAAGCTCAGGCAGAGATTAAAGGTCCCACTGAAGAGAAAGCTAAAGGGGCATCGGTGGCCAACATCCAACAGACAAGGAACAACACAAGCTGGCGAGGATGCGGGGAAAGGGGGGCCCTCCTGCACTGCTGGTGGGATTGTAAATTAGATCAACCATTCTGGAAAGCAATGTGGAGGTTCCTCAAAAAACTAAAAATAGAAAGATTCTGGGTCACAGACAGACTGAAAGAGATGAAAGAATAAAGGAGGAAAAATAAAGGAAAGGAATAGCCCCATCAGAGGGGAACAGTCAACCCAATCAGTAAGTGAAGCGGCATTTAATGAGCAGCCGGAGCAGGAGAACGCGCCAGGCCCCGGGGAGGGGAAGAAAACAAGGAGGAATCTACGTTGTCATCAGAGAGCCTCCCATCCGGGAGCACAGAAATGTGCAGAGAGCTATGGTACAAGGCTTACTAATACGGGCCCTATGAGAGGGTCAGAATGATGCGGGAACTTAAAGGGAAGGCCACATGTGCCCTCCGAGGGGTCCGGGAAGGTTTCACGGTGCGAGAACATTGCTGATGGTTCTCTGTTGAGAATTAGGGGGAGGTGGTGGGTTGAGGGGGTGGAGGACAGTAGGGAGGGTCTAAAGTAGCTGCTGCGGGGGATGTACTAAGTCTAGGTGTCACCACCTGTCTGCACCGTGAAACCTTCCCCAGTCCCTCGGAGAGCAGAGGTGCAAGTCTCTTTCAGAATGCTGCCTTCAGGAGGCTGATTCCAGGGTGTGTGGGCAACTCATTCACTAAAGCAAGCTAGGGTAAAAGAGTGGCAAGGTGATGGTTTCTGTGAATACAAAAAAAGATAAGCTCCTTTTTGGTAAAGGGAAAATAGGAAATCAGAAATGTGGTGTCTCCCTTTTCTGGAGGAATCTGCTTCACTTAAATGGAAACAGCTTGACTCCCTCTTCTGGCTGCAACGGAGTAACTGATAGCAGACCTGCGCTCCCATTGCAAACTAGAGAACTGGATAAATGTCTGAAGCACCTCGTCCAGACGTCACACAGCAGGCAGTGCAGAACTGTGATCCCCGAGAGGAAGGGTGCCAACAAGGTGAGACCTACGATTAACACAGTTTTCTGCCTGGCGGCACCTTTTGGAATGTGCTGCAGAGGTGGGAGCCCAAGATCTTAGCAGTCTCACTGAGGTTAAGACAGGGTTCGGGGAGGCTAAGGCAGCTGGAACATGCAAAGCAGAGTGCCAGAAAGAAGGACGCTCTTTAGGGAAAGATTCAGAAATCTGCACAAGGCTTCTCTTGAATCCTTGGCTGAACACTGACTGGGTGAGTCATACCTATGTTTCATTCCCTAAAAACGCTTGAACAGTGGGGTTTGGGGAGCTTCTGTGTTGGTGAACATAGGGGTGTGAACATCCCTCCCCCCCCCACATACCCTAGGCCCCATTACCTTTTCCTATATGTCTCTTCCATTTGTTTTTTTTCTGTCCCATTTATACGAAACCAGTGTAGTAAGTAAAGTACTTTCATGAGTTTTGTGTCTTGTGGCAAATTCTTGGACCTGAAAGCAGAGGGGTTGTGGGAACTCCCAACTTTTTTGCCAAGTTGAAGAAAAGTGGGGTAACCTGAAAGTCCTACACGTGTAACTGGTGTCTGAAGTGAGGACAGTCTTATGGGACTGAGCCCTGAAACATGTGGAGTCTGACACTAATTTCAGGTAGTTTATGTGAGAATTGAATTAATCGTAGAACGCCTAGTTGATGTCAAAATTGGCTGGTGTCAGGAGGAAAAAAACCCTCTCAATGCCACCAAATGAAGCCCATTCAAAGTCTACTCTAAAAAAGCTTAAAACCAAGTCTCCAAAGATTCAAGGTGGTTTTTAAGTAACTTAACTGCCTCTCAAAACAAAATTAAACCTTCTTTAAAGGAAGGTATCAAAATACAATCAACAATGTAATATTCAAAATGTCTATGATGTAATACAAAATTACTGAATATATATTGAAGCACGAAAATGTGATCCATTACCGAGAGAAAAATCAGTCAATAGAAACAGACCCAGATGGAATTAGTAGTCAAAATTTTAAAACAAATATTATAAATATGTTCAAGATCTATTGGGTAAAATACACAGATTGTCCCATACAACAAACAAATAAATAAAGCAAGTCTTAAAAAGACTTGATGTAAAATGTGAATATGAGAAATGAATGACATGAAAAAAGAATCAAATGGACCCTCTGGAGCTAAAAAATACAATATCTGAAGTGGAAAATTCACTGGATGGACTCAACAGCATTTTAGAAACTATAGAAGAAAAGATCAGTAAACTTGAAGACAGAAATAGAAACTAAATTGAACCACAGAGTGGGGAAAAAGCTAGGAAAAATCCCACAGCAGCCACTGTGACCTGTGGGATAATATCAAGAGGCCTAATATATGTGTAATTGGAGTCATAGGGTAGGGAAGAAAAATATTTCAAAGTGCAATGACTGAAACCTTCCATTTTGATGAAAAACTATAAGCTGAATTTTCTAAGGAGCTAAAATGAACCCCAAGTAAACACACAGACCCCCACACAGAAACCACACAAAGGAACATAATAACTGGCTAGAAACGAGTAATAGAGAGAAAATCCTTGAAACAACCAGGAAAAAAAAGGACACCCTGTATACATACAGCAGTGCAAACATAAGAATTTTTTTTCCTTCTTAACAGAAACAGTTCAAGCCAGGAGACAGTGGAATGACCTATTTCAAGTGCTGACATTTTTAAAAAGAGCCTATCAACCTAGAAATTGGTATCTGACAAAAATACTCTTCAAAGATGAAGACAGAATCAAAGCAT